TAAAACCGTGTGCCAGGGACGGTGTAGAAAAAACGGTAGGTTGGAAAAAAAGAGAAAACTAGCGAAGTGAACGAGCTGCCTGGAAAATATCTTGGCCACACATACTTAGGTGGTGAAGGTGGCAAGAGCGCGGCTTACCTCGCGGCATGTGGTGTACATACATACATATATGCGTGCGCGAGCAGGCCGGCGCGAAAGGGTTGCGGCAAGACCGTAAGGGGACGAATGAAAACCGAGCGAGCCGGAAGACTGCTCGTTATGGCAGCTTAAAGTGTTCGCACTCCACTCACGCGAAGCTCATTAACGATCGAAGAGAAGGAAAAGTGGAATAATTAATTTCTCTCGCTAAAAGGACGAGCGCCGACGAACATAGTTTGTCAGATATAATTCAGTTACAGTCTGCTACTGAGGAGATTCGCGCCGCGTTTCACAATCTTACGTCTTCCGCAATTTCTTCGTGTCTTTTCGAAAATTTTTAATCTCGAAGGACTGTCGAGTTAACGGGAAATTCTCGAAAATCCTGAACGTATCGCTGCCGAACTCGGAAAGGTTAATCGCTTCTTAGTACAGCCATTAACGAAGATAACGCGATAAGAATGATCACGGTATTCGCAGGCAGCTTATACAATATCGCTTGGATCTCAACGACCGTAAAACGCGGTCTAGCGTGGTAATTAATTTACCACCTTTTGAGACGGTTGGCGCGATAATCTCTGTATTATGTAAATCGAAGCAACGGTTAACAGTTTCGACTCGTAAAACATTTATACGCATACAGGATCGCGGGTAATAGCCAGACTTATCGTTTTAACGAAATAAATGTCGATATATTCGTAACTGGAATCATGGATGTGCGTTGGCAGAAACATTGAAAAAAGAAGAAGATGAAACCTTCGGAAATCGCAAGTATACACCACCGACGCAACATTATGCAGCTTCCATCTGCCTATTTAGCGATCTCTCGTTTACCTAGCGGAGGATTGAATTTCGATTGAATTTCTGCTTAATTTCGAAGCAACGAAACGTGAACAGAAATTTTGCGATTAGACGAATACGAGTCATGACGCGGTTGATAGGCGCTGAAAACTGAAACGTGAGCCAGTATCGTACGCAAAAGACGTGTAAATCCAATGGGAGAAAATAGCCGACGCAATGAACGGATTAGGTGCCGAAACGTAGGTTAAGATTAAGGAAACTGTTTGACAAACTCCTTAAGACCGATGAAACATGGTAACGTGGTAATTTCATTCTCTGACAATAAGTTACGATTAAACTCGTGCACGTGCAACCTTATTTCTGCGAGAATCCGAGAGAAGTTTGGTGCACTGACGGTTGTTTAATTTAACTGAACTATACAGATAAGACTTGCCTTGAGAAGATGCCAAACAAAATTATTCTTTTAATTACGCAAAAAAACTGTTCGCAGTTTTTATCAACAGTGGAGGAGTTGGTCGAGATTTTTACCACAGAGGAGTTCGTTGGTAGCTGGCTAGACTTAACTTCTTTCCCTCGTCTTCGTCTAATCCACTTTACGTTAAGTAGAGTTTCGACGGACATCTCTCCGATTCGTTTCCTATCTCCTTCGTGTTTCAATCGGTTCAGCTCGGACTAATGGCGGTACAGCTTTGAATCAATCGTTTGATAATCACAGAGGAAGCCGTGTCACCTGGCCGATTTCTTTCGGTAGATAACGTTACTCGATTATAGCGGTTCAATCGTCTTTGTTTATACACGTTCGAAAATAAAATTGTATATCTTATCGTTAATACGACGCTGATTAATAGTTACGTTTGCCATCTGAGATATTAATATTAATACAAGGTTCTCGATGTCGGAAACAGTGAAACGAAGCATTGGCCAAGTTGAGCTGGAGGATGCGAAGGGGGCGAGACAGCGCTACGAGCAAGGCGTAATTAATGGCATAGCCCTCTGTTTAATTCGATCGAAGAAACCTCAGTCTGTCGGCAGCCGAGTGATTCGCTCGGTTAAGTAATTTCGTGGTTGACGACCGTGAATCAAGGCATGGCTATTTTTTGCCCCGCCAGAATCACTAGACAGTCATTTCCACTTTTAATTAACTGACTAGATTCCTAGCTAGTAGAACGTTTCTTCGACCGGAAGAAGTCTTCGTCCTTTGCTTCAAGATCTTTCCGCCGTGCAATTTACGAGTTTACAATGCAAACACCGCTACTCAGCTGCTATTTCGAAATGTATCTCTCCTCAAGGATAAGTAGCAGTTCGACGTAAAACGAGAAATCTCGTTAAATATCGGTGGTAAGCGTTTTAATGTTAAGTGTCACTGCTTTTTTTCGTAGTATGCGAGTATTTTATGCCGGTTAACGAGCTATCGATTCTCGAACACGCCAGTATTCGTCCTTCGTAGTTTTCCGATCGTTGCAGGAAATCGCGTCCAACGAAGAAAGTAGAAGCTCTTTTACGCGTATGGTTTTGTACACGGTCTCCTTAACGGGGGCGTGTTCCGCGATGTTCGAGAACTTTTTCGATCGTTTCCGGCAACCGACTACGCGGCATTTGCTACCAAGTTTTTGCAAATTACGAAAAGCTAAAGGGACACGAAGGATGAGACGTCGCGAACGATCTCAGCCGGATTATGGGCAAAATATTCCCAAGGTAGGAATTCCCGAGCGTACGTCCTTTCACCATTTATCAAGAAATATCTTTATCGCTTCGGCGAGGCAATTTTGTCACCATGTTGCTTGATCTTCCGATCCTCTGGTTCGAACAGAATGGCGAAACAGAAATGGATTACGAGAACAAAGTGAAGTGTCGAATCTGCTTTTTTCTCCCTTCTCTTTTATTCACCGGCCCCCTCCCGCCGGCCTTTGTATCTTCTCAGAGTTCCTGCGACTGTCGCTTTAAAAGTGCCGGATAAGAAGAAAAGCTTTGGCATTATGGTAATCCGGTAGCTTGTCGGACGACTGTGAGCTGAGACTGGTTCAAACGATATACAGTTTCATTTTTGCGCTCTCGTAACAGATAGGTCGGATGCTCAGAATCCTCTCGATTCGTTACTTTACAACATCCTTTTTCTTCCCTTCGTTAGTCCATGATCAAAGTTTGTAAATTGTAGACAGGCTTGTCAATTTCTCGAGGAAACAAATCGCTGAAATTCATTCGTGTTAGCGATATAAAGTGCGTAAGGCTGAACGAAAGCCTTTTCGTTAAACACAACCGAAGATGCGGTGTTGAATAATCCTGTTAAGCATTTCCTTCCAGCAAATGCGTTATCTCTGTGAAACTTTCGTTTCATAAAGGGAACGAAGTAAGGAAAAATAAGCTTGAAAACACGACTCAATTTCCTTGCGGTTAAATTCGGACGGCGTACGTAAGTTAAAACGAATCATGTTACAGAAGCGGTTTACACGGTGTGCATATGAGAGATAAAGAATGTTGGCACGCAGTGCCAAGCACTCTGAAAATCCAACCAAGATAACGACAAAGACTGAGAGGAAAAAAGCACTGAAATATACCATCTAATCTGAAATGAGACCGCGCGTGTTTTGCGTAAGTGACGTAACCAACGTAGGAGGAGTACACAGGGTGTGACAGTCATATTAGCGTGACTGGCGAATCTTCTGCTGAAAGGAGATGCTGGATGAAAGGAGATGCGGGATGAACGAAATACCGATGTCTCGTGACATCGCTAATTGAGTTGATATACTATGACACCGTCGAGTCTTTAAAACATGGAAACTAAATATAACTAGAGCCCTTTAAATATATCATCGAAATATGTTAGCGAAAATGGAAACTATCGCAGGTTCGTTCTTACGAATATTTTCGACCGACTCGTTTCAAAACAGTTTTTACGAAATTTCTACGTAAATTCAGTTTCGTTGTGTCAGTTATTTCATCGGGTATTTTTCCAAAGATCTTCGAATCCGGGCGGCAAGTAAGATCGGCTACCAGTCACTTTCAAGCCGGCAGTTTGTGTTGAGTGTTCACCGTCTGCGTAAAGCAACCACGTGAATTTTTCAATTTCGCTTTTTCCCCGATGTTTTCCCCTCGCCGTCCACGGCAAACGACCGTTTCTCTTGACCTTTCAGGCAGGGCAGAGAGAAGTGGAAGAAACTGGAATAAATAGGCTTTCCCTTCCTCTTTGCAAAAATGTAACCCAACGCGTAAGCACTGGTGAAATACTCAAAGGTTCAAGTTGTCGCGTCGCGGTTAAGCTACGTAACCATTTCACCAGGTCGAAACGATTTTGATCAAAGCACAATCAAAGATTCCGCTTTTTTGTTGGCTTTTCTTTATAAGTGGACCTTTTGAAATTCCTGTGACAGTTTTTACGTCCGTTAAACAGCGTTGAATCGTCAAAGCAAACGTAACGAAAACAAAGAGCCGTGCAATCTGACCATTTCGAATGTCTACTGAATCTAGCTAAATTACAAAAGAGAGAGAGAGAGAGAGAGAAAGAGAGAGAGAGAGAGAGAGAGAGAGAGTATTCTAAGTTTTTTCTTTGCGGCAGGAATATTATAGAAAGTTAAATATCACAAACATTGTTAATACCTACATGGAAACCACACAGGTCCAACGACGAGTGTCATTGAAACGTTGTAGATTTAGCGAACGAGGAATTTCTAAGTGACATCTGGGAAATTGTAGAAATCAGCCGGAGATTATAGCAGCACACGAGCTACGATTTATCGCCACATTGTTAGCCACCAAATTTATAAGGGTAGCTTGCTACAGTTCCGAGTGACCCGGCCGCAGGAAAATCGATAGTGCATGCACAAGGTTAAAGTAGGCTCGCTGCGCTTCTGATTGAAAATTAAAATCTCTTCTCCTGTATTTTTCGATTCAGCAAAATAAATTGTAATTATTCGGACGAAAGTGTATAATTCGCTTAATGAAAGTTCAACCAACGAATCAGATTCGTCAATTCGCAATTTGTTTGTTATATTGTCGTATTTTGAGACAGCTTCACAGTATTCGGATTCGATAAATTGTTTCATTCTCATTTTTTATTTTTTTATTTTTTTTGTTAACGAATACCATTGCTTCGTTGAACAATGAAACTATGAAATCAACTCAAGCCTTGATTCACTCCGATGTTCGTCATTTATCGCAGAACAACGCAACATAGTTATATTTGGTAAGTTGAAATTACGAGGATACCGCGAGTTGGAGCAACGCACCAGCCGAATTAAGATTCATCGATGAAAAGTTGGAAACTTGGACGGTGCATCATTCGTGATGTTGGGTCGCGTGTTGCGGGAAAGGATAATAGTGGCGAGCGGGGCAACAGTGACGTAACCGCTCGTACGTCAATGCGCGATCTTCACCACGGTCTATAATTTATCGCGGCGTTAACTGTCGAAGTTCGGAGCGTGTAATCTCTTCTAGTCGAGTAGGAACGGCCGGCTATCCGCTGTGATAATCCGTACATGCGTGGATTCGGAGGACGAGTTAGCGGCTTCTCTACTCCACTGCCACTGGTCATAAAGAACGCGCGAATCGTTCGAAAAGAATAACAGAAAGAGGAACATCGCGTCGTCGGTCCATTTCGCAAGACGACAGAATCCTGCTGGTTATACATCCGGCATATTCGGACTTAGGCAGTTTGCCAATGACGATATCGATCTTCGTGCAAGATCCGACGAACAGAGAGGTAACGACGAATAGATTAACGGCGAGTTCCGGATTGGGACAATTTGTCAAGTGTCGGAACATATGACCGCCCGTTCATATACGTATACAGTCTCGGACGTTGCCAGTGCAGCGCACGTAGATTTCGTTGAACCCGAATATACAGTTCGTTCGAGATCGACACGGAGACGCCTAGGTGAAAAGAAACACGTATACAAGGCTATAAGCAAAGGAATAGGTCGAACAGTGGTTGTATCCGACGATACTCGACATATTATTGAATTGGAAATTTATTACTTTAATAGAGACTGGAGTGGGCGCGATCATAATTCAAGGCAGGCTGCGAGTCCGGCAGGCATAACTACTAGAAATTCCGTTCTTCTTTAATCCCCTTCTGAGCTGACAACCCTTTCCGACGTCCCGCGCTGGACCGCGATGTCCTCTCTTTCCGTTCCCTCCGCTCTTCCTTTATTCGCAGAGCCTGCTTTCGTTCCGCTTCTCGAACCGAGCAGATATTCCACCGAGTACGAGAAGGAGAAGATCCAAATGATTTAAGACGCGCTCCAACCCCGCGACGTTCTACGAAAAAATATGCTCCGAGAAAGTTCGTCGTGCCGCGAGAGGCATATTGTCTGGGATGAAAATGGAACGAGGAATTTGCCAGCTCCTCTTGTACCGAGTTTCGGGAGTGAGGACTTGTTCGGGCAAACGAGCTTGCTATTTATGCGTCCTTGGAACTCTTAAACGCTCGCAGCTTTCGTACCTTAGCGCCGCCTTTAACCCGCGGTGGGCAGAGGTGGCCGTGACTTCCAAGAATGTCTTGCAACGAGGCGGAGGTTCTTGTACGCGCGGATTCCATCTGCAATTTCTTAATGGTAATGATGATACAACAAGTAACGATATTAGCAATTCGTTAACGTGTAAATAATAATTATAAAATCATGGAAGATAAATATGCAAATATTGAAATATATGTATATATACACATAAATTATAATTACGTTGACGAAACTAATCAAATGAATAACAAGTACGTATTAGCTAGCGTCGTGTCCTCTTTAGAACTGACGGCACGTGAGGCCGAAAATTTAACGTCGTGGAACCGCACCGCCCATGGTGATAAGGATGATAATGATGTCCTAGAAGGATCTGAAATGGGGAAAGTAATGAATCTTTTGGCTGAGGATAGAGTCGAACAGATCAGTACAGAGAAATTTATTCACAACATGCGTACGTTCACGTATTACGAATTATTATACTGCAATAATATCCTCTTTGTTATTATTTCCGCTACTTTCTCATCAATTTCACTTGCCCGAATAAAAATTCTTTCCAGGAAATTATTTTCCTCTTGAAGAAATTCAATTAGAACCAAAATGTTAAACATTTATTTTTTATGATAATAGTTATCGGGTTGCTTCGTAAATCCCATTGTTGACAGAAGTCCTACCTGCAACGTATAAAATATTTATTTTACATATAAAATGAGTGGAGGGGGAATCCAAACTTTCTGACCGGATTGGAAGTCGGAGGGGGGGGGGGCGCCCCGCGGG